ATACGATCCATCACCCACTGCTTTGCTTCGTCGAAGGTCTTGTTCACAGCGATCAGGCCTGCCTTGCCACGGCGCTTGATGAGCTGGTCCGGCTTCGCCACCAAGTTAGTCGTCTTCAGCCATGGGTTCGCCTGCAGAATGCTGTCCCAGGTCTGGCTCCCAGTGCTGTCGAGCACGGCGGGGGTCACGAGAACACCTGCGCATCCCATCTTGTGCTTGCCGCCGGAGACCTCTGGCAAGTACTTCTCCAGAAGGCTCTTGCCTGCATGCTCTCGGATTGGCTTCACCGACATGTTTCAAAGTCGTTGCGACGAGAAGACAACAAGAGTAACTGACATGGAGCCAGATGGCATTTTGGCAGCGAGAGTTGCGCAACTCACGTGCTGTCCCTCCTGACAATACGCTTGAGCTGTAACACTCGAAGCTATCAACGTTTGATCACAAGGGTGCAGGCATCTGGCTTCGAGCTCGTGTTCGAGCGAAAAGTTTGTGAGACTCTACTCAGGGGCTTCTGACGGTTGACGGCCACGGTAACGCACCTGGTACTGACTCTTCCCAGGAGGCCTGCTGAGTCTTAGGAAAGCTTCAACACGATAAGGAAGGCCTCGCCGTAAAGAATGCCTTAAAAGTCCAAGGCCAGCATGTAAATCACAAGCATGCATGCTTGGAAATTTGCCATGCAGCAGAATGTTCTGGTGGGCCGAGCCCCAAGCCGTGATCGATGAGCGCCGTGCGCAGGGAGCATTTCCTTAGTGGGCACGGGAAGATGGGGGAGATTGGCTGGGAGTTGGCACAGGACCCGTCGCTCTTTTGAAGCGGGCCACTGGGCACCAGGCACGGGCATGGCACTTGCTTCAAGGAATGCTTGGTAAATCACCTCCGAAGAGACCGGACATAAAAGCCTGTGTCCTGTGTAAGAAGAAGCTTTGCATTGGCTGCAGGATTGGCTCATCTCTGCGTGTTTTTGCAGCACAATCTGTGCTGTTTCCTGTGCCTCCTGTGTGGGGCGTAGCGGCTGCTGTGCAATGGCCATCCAAGAAAACTTGATTCAACGAAGGAATGCCACTGGTCAGCCCATCTACATCGCGGACTGCCCTACCTCCACAACTTCTGCAGGGAGTAGGCACAATCCCAAAACGAATTGATCGAATTGCTTGCTGGTCTTCAGACTCAGCCATACAAGTTCCGGGCGGATGATTTAACCTCGTCTTGCATGCGGCGGACTCCCTCCGCCGCTTTCTCCAAGTAAGTCGACCCCTCCAAGATCTTGGCATCGCTGTTGCGATCCCATGCAGCCAGCATCTTGGCATCGCTCACAACTCTGCGCAGATCTGCACAGCAGAAATGGTCACTAGCTTGGGCGGCAGCCTTGACATCCGGCATCTCACCGTTTTTGCAGAGCAGCTCCATGGCTCCGGGGTCGTCCTTGATGTACTTGCGCAGGATCGCGTGCTTCTGCCGAGGCTCAGGCAGTTTGGTCTTGAGCCAAAGCTCGATGCGGCCACTCCGGAGTAGCATCTCGGCCATCCAGTGGACATTCTGCCCCGTGAGAACCACAACGACATCACCGGTCTCTCGCTGCCTCTTGCCACGCGATGTCAAGCCATCCATTCGGCCCAGCAGAAACCGAAAGATGTCGGAGCCCCGATGCCCATCAAGTGGCCGCCAGCCTCCAATCACAATGTCTGCATCATCGATAAAGACGACGGAAGGTGCGGCAGCCTGTGCAGCTGCAAAGACCTTGATAATGTCAGCATGAAGCATCATCTCGCGAACCAAGAAGAACTTTCCCTTCAGCCTGTTGGCCAGCCAGCGCCCTACAGTGGTCTTCCCCGTACCAGGCTGGCCGTGTAGCAATACTCCACGCTTCGGGGTCAGTCCAAACTTCTTAGCCTGCTCAGGATTCTCCAGAGGGAACAGCACGTTCCGCTCCAAGTCCTCCTTGATACCTTCCAGACCGGGGTATTCTGCCAGGTCGACTGGCTCAACCTCTTCCGGCGCAACTGCCGACACAGAAACCAGCTCATCCCTGATTGAGCTGACAAGAGCTTCCGTGCTGACACTGCTCTGCCTGGCCAGAACACGAGCGGTGGCTGCTTTCAAGTCCGCAGGTGACAGCTGGGAGTGCAACGAATAGATGGCCTCCTCGTCCACGGACCCCTGTTCTCTCAGCACACTCTTCAAGATCGCACCGTAGTCTTCCACTGTCGACTCTCCCAAAGTCACGACCAGAGGCGTGTTGATGAAGGCTAGGTGTGCATCTTCGACGGAAGAGAAAACGATGACACCGTGGGCAGAAGCTGCTGCATCGCTCAGAGATTTAATGAGCATGGCCGGCGACGGCGCCACTTCCCAGTTGTAGAGATCACCAGCACCCTTGATGTCTCCAATCAACGTGCGAGAGCGACGCACCGAGCGAGGTGCGACCGCAAGATCGAGGTCATCTATCACAGCGAGGCCGTGTTTCTCCAGAGATGCTATGGCAGCTGCATAAAGTGCTTTCAGTGCCTGACCCTCTCCTGCATCGTGCGCTAGAGCAGTCGCCACTCCAAGAGAAGGCACTCCAAACTGAGTTGCTGCTGACTTGAGTATCGAGGTGACGCCATAGCCACGTCCGAGAGCTGGCGGCGATCGCAACTCCACAAGAGGCGCGGCCTTCGTCTTGATGGCACCAACAAGAAGATCAAACGCCTTCTGCTGCGTCGGGGAAAGCTGAATGATGCCGTTCATGCTGCTGGGCTGGCTCGCCGGATATGACCGTGACTGAATTTCCATCTCTGGGCACAAAAACGCTGCAAACAATCCCGATGCCTGGAAGTGTCAGAACATGTCAGAACTCCCTAGATGTGACTTTGACTCGTTGGCTGCCCACCTGCCTCCGCCTTCGTGTGGGATGGCCCACCTTCTCTAACGGCTGCGCCGAAAGACTCCAGCCTGAAGATCACGAAGAACAAGGCCCGCACGCAGTGCTATGCATGCCTTAAGCATTCTGAGTTTATGTTGCCTTGGAATCATTGGAGTTCATGAAATGTTTTTCAGTGAGGTTTGCTGTAAGCGCTTGTGAATGAGCTTGTGATTTCTTGTGAAGAACCGGATGCTTGTGATTAAGCTTGCGAAGTTTCTTGTGAGAAACCTTGCGAAAAATCGGTGCGAGAGAAACATATGAGCAAGCTTGGGAGCTTTCTTGTGAGGAGCCTGGACCTTCTGAGCAATTGTGTGGAAACACTGCTTGTCAAGAACATTGTGAGATGTATCAGAGACTACTGAAACCTGAGACGGCAACAACGGGTCATGCTATATGACCGGCAGGGGTTGAGAAGTTGGAACAAAAAATGCTGCATTAGTGCAGGGGTTTAGGTTACGCTCAAACCACGCACACACAAGGCACAGGCTAACGTTTTGCTTCACCTCGTGCCAAAGGGGCTACCAGCACAAACTATACAACGTGGTACTCAGAACAGGTTTTTTATCCTGACACCCCTCCACGGCCAGCTGATTCCATGAGCTGGACAGCCGGCAAGCACTGCTCGAGGGGTGCAGTCTGTACGCGGAGCAATGCCTCGAGGAACGGCATCTGGTCTCTGCAACTGGTTCGGGTTTTGGCCCAGGTGTCTACAGTGTCTCTTATGAAACTTCTTGCCCTTACGGTTGACGTAAACTTGGGCACCCTGCTCAAGACCTCGTCGCGGCCTCCAGCGGAAGGGGCCGCCTTCGTTGCAACACGCGGCTCAGTGAGCCACGCAAACGCGGATCTGATCAAGCGCCAGATAGTCTGGATGGCAAGGATATGAATGATCACCATGTAGATGAAGAAAGACACGTCGTCGCCCTCCAGCTTGCGATTCGTCGGCTGTCATGTAGCCACACTAAAGGACCCGAACAGGCACGCCATGACCAAGCCCCTTGTGAAAGGCATGCTTTTGACGAGTTCTGTCACTCTGGGGTTGGTCGGTTGTTTCTGAATGCGGAGCTGGTTCTTCTGGACGCAGTCCTGAACCCAAAGCTCCTTCATGGACAAATGCTTTGCCTTACCAGAGCCTTCCTGGTAGCAATGCGCTTGGCGGCACTCGATTCGATTTTCATTGCGAGCTATAGCCCTTTGAAGCCGGTTCGCTCCCAAATCTGCGCCAGAGCTGAGTGCAATCACCGATTGCTTTGCACACGAAGCATCGATGAGATGCTTGCCAAACCTCTCGGTGTAGCTAGGCTGCTCCTGGTACTCGAAGTGCCAGACCCCCTTCCGGTACTTCACAAGGTACCTCCCAAGGTGCTTTAACTTGAGCTCGTGTTCAACTGTGGACAAGCCATGCCGGATGTGATCTCCGACAAAGCATACTGAATCGTCGGGCGATCCTGCGAAAGGTACAGCGCAGTGCCAGCGAGTTTCCGAAATTTCGCTGCTGCAGCAGGTCCAGACGCTCTTCTAAATCCCTGCGTGTCTTTCCACACTCCCTAGAGCATGCGGCATCTGCGCCCTCGGCATCCGTGAGGCCCAGTTCCTCGACGATCTGGCGAGAGTATTTGGGATCTGGTTCCCAGCAGAAGCAACTCTCTCTCCATCGAATGATGCGATGCTAATGATCTTCATGCATAGTCTGGCCTCCGAACTCCTCATGGCCAATACGTGGCCAGATCTTGGTCTCGAAAGACTGCATCATCAAGGCATCCAGTCGATACAATTTGTTGTCGCCCTCAGCTTTAAAGTCATCTCCGTGACAGCTGATTGTCACCCACCACTCGTCGTGGTAAAACAAACCAGGAATCCCTGGAAGAAGGCAATTGACACATCGTATCTAGCGATAAGTTTTCGCCGGTTTGTCCTGCCTTTCTTTGCGGTCGCAGCCGCAGAGAGGATAATGCGATGAATCCTCAAGGGAGGTGTTCTGCTGAGCACGTCATCCTCTTTCGTGGTCGTTGATCTCTTGGGCCACGCAGCTGCTGCGCACCCCATTCGGATCATTGGGCAGTGGTTTCCAGCCATCAACCCAACTGCTGCGGACTATCTTTAGTCCCTGTCGTCAGGCCTCTTCCCAAGAGATGTCCTTCTTGACACCGTGCTCCCCCATCTTGTCCAGTTCACACGCCCTGGCGGTCATGACCTTGTCTAGAGGAAGTGGCTGGCCTGTTCGCTCGTCGAAGGCTCCGAGTTCGTCCACCTTCCTGTCCAAGGGGTGACCGCACAGGGGCTCCCACTGGCTCTGCTCCTGGAGAATTGGTAGACCGCCCGTCAACTCCTGGTATTCAAGAGGACGTTTCTCACCTCTTGCGTCTTCCGTCTTCCCCTTCTTAGACCCGTCAGGGGTCTTGGCACAACCCGCTACTGCTGGAACCCCGAGGAGCGGAACCACCCGCGGCACTTTTGGTTGCACGGCTTTGGGCTGTCATCATCACAGACAAAGCCTGGACATCCGGGTGTCTTGCCGCGCTTGATCTGATGTTCCAGAGTGATGTACACCGAAGGATGCTTTCGCGCTGGTGCGGCTGGCGCCTTGTTGGAAGGAACAGTTGTGGGCCGTGGGCTCGCCGCGTGGCTGTCAAGGTAGCCCAACCATGCCCTCAAGGAACTTCAGCTCCCACCTTTTCTGCTCTGGTCGCCTCCAGATGCCTCGGCATCGATGGACCCTTTGGGCCGTTCCTTCCCAATAAATGCTCATCAGAGGCAAGCGACTTGCCCAACCACACTCCAACCGACGTCTGCTTGTCGAGATTTCCGGTCTTTTCCCGGTCCAGCTTCAAGTGTACAACGTCAGAGCACTCAGCGATCTCTCTGCGGAAGTCTCGTCCACGAAGTCGCTCGTACGGCGTCCTGCCTTGCTTTGCAAGAAAACGCGAAATCCATCCGCAGTGACGTACAAGCCACGAAAAGATATCCGCTTCGGTCTCCAGGGGCTTCTTGTAGCGGCTCTTAAACGCACTTGCAAGAATCCGCACCTGGCGTGCCAATTCCAAAATGGCTCTCGCGGCCGAGCCATTGGAAGCATGCGATCCCTTGGGTGCTGTCTGGTGCTGCACACTACCAGTCCAGCTCTTAGCTGCCCTCTCAGCTAAGGCTTTGACGCTGTGCTCAGCATCCGTCATCATGATGACCTTGTGGCACCCGCAAAACTTCAGGGTCTCAGTCACCAACCCAGTGGCATACCGATTTACACCCTCTGCCGCTACTCCAGTTAAAACACAGCCGGAATTCTCATCCACGATTACCAGGATTGGAAGGAGCCCGTCCTTCTCATCCTCGGGCACCTTTACTTCGTCAACGGTGTTCACGGTGCTCTTCAACGCCCTCCCTAAAAAGCAATAGTCGAGGGATCTTCGGAAGCTCGCCCGCTGGACTCGCGTGCCGAATGATCGTCTTTGTGCATTTGCCTTTCATACAATGATCGCACCAATTTCGCACCGGCGAGTGCGTCAACATTACGGTTTCGGCGACTCGCTTGTTCTTCGGCCGTCACGTGGCCTCGGACGCTTCAGCTGGCACGTCGCCTGGCTGAGGCAAACCCTGGGGGCCATCCGTCTCACCAGGATTCTCTCCTTCACCTGCCAATGCCTTGGCTGGAACCGTCTGGGCCCTCAACCCTTTCGCACTCTTGCACAACATTCACAGGGAGCCAAAACACTCCCTCTTCTCAGCTGCACTGCGCCTGTTGTCTCGTTCAGCGCTTGCTTGAGCCTTTGGGCGCGCTTATCTAAAACCATACCCCATGTGCCTGTCGTGGCCGCTTGGCCAGCTGAAAGCACTGAAAACTGAACCTTTTCGGACTCAGCGTACTCTACGGTCTACAAAAAACGTGCCAGCACTCGTTCGTAGCAGGCTCCTCAGCTTTTGGTTGCTAGCAAAGGGCTCCCCTGTAACGGTAACCATCCCAGGTCCCGAAACCCGAGAACCCAACAAAGCCCCGGAATCAAGCCCTTTCCGAAACAGGTGAGAACCCTGCGCCCGTCTCTACAAGAACCCCGGTCTCACTGGCCTCGAAGCTTGGCATCACCGCCACAACACCAAAGCAAAGATCCGGCTCCTCAGGCGAAGCCGACATCGGCACGGGGCTAGCCGCATGAGGAGCGCGGACTTCCCGCCACCTTTCAGGTCCAGGGGCTTGGCTTTGGCATTGGCTTGCTTCTTTCGGCGTTCGGCCTCAACATGGCTCTTCCAGCAGTACCAGCACTCCTTGTCTTTGTTGGTGTTTGGGTTGTTCGGGCTTGAGCCTTGGGCCTGCTGCTTGTTTGCATCCTGGCCTTGGCCCTTGCCTCCTTAGAGGCTTTGTCCCTTTCCCTTTTTCTTTGCCTTTACCTTTGCCTTTGCCCTTGTCAGTCTTTTTCCACGGCACAGCTCCAAGGTCCATGGGCTGCGAGAGGTTTAGCAGGACACGATCGGTCCACATCCGAAAACGATTTGAGTCGGCCGAGTTCCGAATGATGTGGCTTTGCAGGCTGCTGTCCTTGAGCCCGTTCACCACGATACCCAGCAGCTTCTCCTCGTCCTCATCCAAGCTTGTGCCGCTCTCCTGTTCATACCTGCGCACGCTGTTCTCGAACGCCGCTACGTCCCCCTCCACATCATCACCAAACCTGCTCGATGGCAAAGTGGTAAGGGCCCTCGGATGAAACTCCTCGAAGATGCGCCTATAAGACTCACGTCCTTCGCCGAGGCCACCTTTGCCGCACAGGCCTGTGCGGCAAAGGTGGCCTGCCCGTGTTGTAGTGTCGAGTTGTCGGCCCCTCAACAACATCACCAACACATAGTAAAGCTGACATGAAAGATCTCGATCAGTCTCCGAGAGAGCCCTGTTTGGACTGCTCGTTTTGGAGAGTTTGGCTTGCTCAGGCAGGCCTATGTACCTGCTATCAATGCAGCTCAAGTAGGACTCGAAGATGAAGGACCAATTACTGAAATTCTCCTCCTGGGAGCCTTCGAAAACCTCGGGTTTCCCGAGTTAATATCTACCAGGCCCGCCCTTGGAGCTGCTGGCTGGCTCGACCCTGGCAAATCTGTGTCAAAGGTGCTTTGCCGTCCACGGGTCGACAGACCTGCTGCTTGCAGCTGCAGCAGGGCCTCCTGCGTTGCCTGCCTGCTGTTCATCTGCTGCAGCACCAAATTAGTTTGCTGCAATTGCTGCTGGAGCTGCTGCGCCAGCGTATCGCCGGGCCCATCTGGGGAGCTTGGGGGGTCCCAGTCAACCACCCGCAGGCATATAGAGGGGCGGGACAACCCGCGTCCTCTTCCCTCTGCGGAGCGGCCTGCGAGAGGGTGAGCACAGGTCCACTTGGGATACCAGGGCTCCGCTGCCATGCAAGGGTTTAGGTTAGCCCTCAAACCACGCACACACAAGGCACAGGCTAACTTTTTGCTTCACCTCGTGCCAAAGGGGCTACCAATACAAACTATACAACGTGGTACTCAGAATATGTTTTATATCCTGACAATTAGGCACGAGGGCAAAATAGAAGTATAAGGGTTCCTAGATTCCACAAGAAAGAGTTTCCGAGAAGCACCCAGAGCGTTTATCCGCGAAGCGGGAAGCCAGCCTGGTCCACAACAATACGGGAGGCGCTTCGTTCACGAACCGATCACCAAACCCAACATATCAGCGTCAGGCCCCCAGCTCTTTCCGGAGCCTACTCTGTCCCCTAAACCCCTATTCCCCCCAACTCGCGTACCCGGCCGTGACTCCAAGCCCGCCCCGGCGCGCACGCACGGGAGAACAGACTCCGGTTTCGGATTTCAGGTGTGAAGGTCCACATGGCAGGGTCGGTTTGGGATGAGCACACGCAAAGAACGGTTGTGTTTGTCCGGTCTCGGATTTTTTTTGGATGCCGGTCCACGACGGTTTGGGGCGCGCACGGGATGCCCATCGTTTTGGGTGAACAACTCTATAACATACGGTTCGGAGTTTCGGCTTTATAAAAATCTACAAAATCGGATCTCAGGGAGTCTGACACGCTCCCTATTCCGCAGACCCTAAAGCAACACGAAGTGCATACGGCGACCTTCGTTTTCTCAAGCATCCAGATGGTCGGGCTCCAGGCAAGCGGCACACAGAGGTCTCAGCAAATAGCTGCTGGCCTCGTGCACCCCACCTGTTAGACTTTTAGACGTGTTCGAAACTCGGTAAGATGAACTGGGTGGCTTGGGTGGGCTTTCAAAAGGCCTGCCCAACCCCGGCTTGCCACGGCTTCGGAAACGGTCGCAACTGTGTCATTACGTGCACAAGTGCACTACAATGAAAGCGCGCGCATCGATTCTTTCAATAATGAAAACCCACCGTGGTGAACCCTTTGCAGCCCCAGCCCCAGCCACTGCAGCCCCAGGCATCCTCGATCGAACCACCTGTCCACCCGGCGTTCGCCCACCGTCCGCCCACCGTCCCCCATCATCCGCCCAGCGTCCCTACAGTGCCTGCTGCCTTGCACCTCGAAATATGTCTACTTCCTCAAAGAAAGAACAAACTCACAGGAAGAACCCCCGTAGTGCCCATGCCCATGCACTATGTACTTCCTGAACCGAAACCTGACTGCCAACCTCACAGCCCCCGAGTCCTCACGAGAAACCTCGTAGCAAACCTCACACCGCCCAAATCTTCATAAGAAACCAATTTACTGCAAACCTCACAGCAAACCTCACAACACCCAGACCCTCACAAAACACCTTACAGCAAACCTCACACTGAACCTCACAGACTTGACCACACAGCCTCTCTTACAGGAAACCTCACAGGATTCTCACAGAAAAAGCCTCCTAGCTGCTCTCCAGCCATTCCGGGACTAGAATGTCATAACTTCAGCGGCTGTGCCGCGCATCTAAGACGTGCTGGTTTTCGGTCTGACACACAGAATCACACTACAAGCACGAGTAGCAACAGCTGCAACAACATGCGCAGCCAGAAGTGCTACCGGCATCCTGAGACAGCAACACAGCTGCAATGGAGGTCGAATCCCCTCTTTCCGGCCAGTCTGCCTGCATCAATTTCAAGACGGACGTCACCGAATGACTTCGAGGCCACTCTGCACCACCTCAGCAGGTAATGCTTCTCGGCGAAGAGCCGCATAGGCCTGCCGCTGCCACACGTCTCACAACAACATGCCCGATCGGCTCGATCGCTCACTGGAGAGGCAGAGACTGCACCTCGTCCGCTACAACTTCGAAGCTATGATGCCAAAACAGTCCGTCTTCAACCTGCACTACACTCACTACAGACGAGGACTCATCAATGCTGCGAGACAGGGACGCACGGGAGGAAGGTTTAGCGGCCTCTCGCCAGATCGTTGTGTCGTCCAATCGCCTGTGCATGGCCTCGCATGAACCGCAATAGGTGTGGTGGTTGAAGTTCTTAGCACGTCACAACAACAACCAAAAAAAAGGCCTCATTGTAGCTAGACACGAAATCCCGGCACTCCTGCAGGATCGCTCGACACAGCACCGGACAGGCCATTCTCGTGCTTTCGAAGATCAGCTCCTGGAAGAAGGGCTCGACGTCTTGCTGTGCAACCTAGGCAAACACAAAAAAGCACCTGCAGTGTGACGTTCACTCTCACCAGGCCTCACTTGCCAAGGCCAACAGCTTCTCCGAGTCCTGGCCAATGATATCAAGCAGAGTTACCGCGTGTCTAGAACCTGCCGCTTTCCGTGTCCTGTCCGGCTTCTTCGACCTCCTTCTCTCTCATTCGCAGTGCGCAGCAAAGGTAAAACCTTGTGAACGGCTCAGGGTGAAAGTGGCCAAAGCACTTCCCAGAGAAGCCCACTGCTCTGCGACGTCTCCTTTTTGTGTCTGCCCATGGAGCACACGTTTAAAATGTGAGCTTTCTTAGCCGGGCTACGTCTATGCACCCTGGCCGAAGCCCACAAGGTTCGCCAGCCACCTGAAGTCCATACCAAAAATGAGGATAGCCAGCACGACAGAACCGGCACTAAGAAGCTGCTGCGAGCCTAGCTCCTCCTCAAACAACACTGCGATCATCAAAGCCCCAAAGACGGTGTAGACGCCATTCTCCACAGTGGCGATTAGAGCCCCAGAGAAGGAACCTTCTAGAGAAAAGGCAAAGGTACTTATCAGGCCTCCGCAGCCCGAGAGGAGTCCACAGAACATGGTGCCCAGCAACAGGTAGCGGAACCTTCTGTCCCGAAGGACCATCCGCCGGCTACCGCCGTCGCTCGCTAGAACACGACCAAGGGGAACAACGGTGGTCGCCATCATGTAAACAAAGTAAGTACATGTCGTCCATTCGTGCCGTTCAGCATCGCTGCTTCCATGCACTCCAATCTTCTTCCCCAATGGCCCGAAGCCCCAGCATGTGCCTGCTGCAACCGACAGAAAGACGGCCCTCATACGAAGGGAAGTTGGGGCCACAGTGGAGTTGTCATCCTCACTATCCAGGCCATCATCCAGCTTCTTCTCCATCATCTCTGGATCGGACTCTGACTCCTCCGTGTCATCACAAAGCGGGACCGGCTCTCTCTGCCGAGAGGACCTCTGAGCGAGCACAACGCCTGCTAGGATGAAGACAAAGCCCACATAGGTCTGGAGCTTGAGGTGCTCCCGGAAGTAAAGGGCGATTATCAAAGCACTGGACATAGTGTAGGTGCCGTTCTCTATCATCGAGATGAGAGCACTGGAGGATCCAGCAGACCAGGCGAAAGCCACAGTTCCTAGCAACCCGCCGGCGCCACTGATGAGGCCACAACCGAAGATCCAGGGCAGGCGATGGTTCCAGTCCGGATTGCTCCAAGTCCTCGACCAGCCCTCGCTGCCCATCCTAAACAAATCCACAGACGGAGACACCACCGTGGTCAGTGTGTAGACAAAGATTGTAATTGCTGCGCCTCGGAACACTCGCTCTCGAAACTAGCACCACTGTGGGTTAATCAGCTTGCTTATTCAGCTCCTCATGCACAAACCTTGATCCTACTAATCGTGTAAGACAAGCCCCGTCAACTGAGAGAGATCAGAAGCAGACAAAACTGGACATCCAGGATGCGTACTGCTTTGGTGGCATTGCTGGCTCCTTCGACACCCAAGCGCTTGCCCAAAATTCCAAATGCCCAGAGGAAGCCGCCGGCGGCCGCCAGAAGCAGTGGGGTAGGCGATGCCATGGCAATCCCGAAGCTCAGTGCGAGCTGCGACCGACGATGACTATGGCTTCTGACTTTTGGCTCGCACCTGCTGTCTGACTCAAGCCGACCCTATGACCCTGTGCGAACTACAGCAACCTGCATGTCAAAGTTGCTGAACAGCACCCTCCATCTGGACTATCACTTTCAGGCAGGATTGCGGTGAACAGCAACTGCTAGCAAGAGTATGGTCATATCGCCACGGGAAATCGAAGTGTCCAGAAATTGCGTCCTCATAGACTCATAGACATTCTTCTGTCACCCAAACGTCTTGTGCACAGGGACGGAGACACGCACACCTCCAGACAGCCCCTTAAACATGCAAGCTTCTAGTGCCGAAGTAGTGCATACCTGGACGTCATACACTGCTTTCCAGCTACAAGGGTGAAGGGAGATCCGGAGTGATTTCCCCACCGTCGGATTCCGCGTCAACTCACCTCTTTTATGGTCTCAAACTCGTGACTGAGCTCCCACAGCTCCCGGGTTTCTAAAGACATGAACACAAGACTACTGCTAAACTAGGCCTGCCGGGAGTCAATATCTTGAGTTCATCGCTGCGGGTGGGACGAATAGGGAGTCGTCTGAGTTCGGGACTCGCCCAGCGCCGCTTGCGCCTTTTCGTTCATGAAAACGTGCGGCCTTACCGCGAAGCTCCGGCCCCAGCTGAAGCTTACAGTGATGAATAGTCAGTAGTCTGAGTTTGGCGCCGCTTAAGGTCCTTGCGGTTGCACTTGTCCTGCAGCGGAACCCGAGTGTAGCTCGGCACGGCAGCGTAGTCTAGGCAAGCCACGACGAAGGCAGCGTAACGTGGCAGGCAAACAGCCAGCTTCCTGCCGACTCCGTCAGTACACCAGTCTCCCTCAAGCAGCCGAACAGAGACGGCGAAGCATGCCAGCCGGGCTCCCAAGTGCCAAACCTGGACGGATCTGCATCTCTCGGAAGTTGCACGAAGGACGAAGCACACAGTGCTGGAACTTGGAAGCCGGCAGGGATTCTGCATTGCCGGTCCAGGACGGATGCAGCTTGCCAACACAGGCCTCAGCCCGGCGCTTTTCTCACGTCCTAGGACATAGGAGTCCTACTTATGCATAGAATGTCTCCCGACTACTGTAGGGAGAGAGCATCAGCAACAGCCTGGGCAGCTCCTGGAAGAAGTGGGTGCAATGCATACCTCGCAAGTCTTACACCTAGACCCTCCTTCGAAAATGCAAAACACTTACAACACATCTCTGTCAGGCCCGGCCTGCCGGTATATTTGGATGCAGCCGCAGCTGCCGCTGCCGCAGCCATGCGGGCTACAGTGTCCTAAATCCTAGTCAGCTGTACAGAGACGTCACGGTCTGCAGTCTGAACACGCCGTCTCTTTGCTTCAAACTTCAAGGATATATCTTACTGCCTTACATGCAGCAGAAGAAGCTACAGAGCCATTTGCTACCCGCTGAAGCGATGCCTCTTGCAATCTGAATGTGCAGTGAATACTCACTGCCTTCTGCCCCAGTGTGCGAGCGTGCTTTTTTTCCCAAGAGATGCCTGTCGCGTGAAGCACAAAGAAACCTATCTTGGGAAGAATCATGGTGCTAAAAGCATCGCGAGGCCCGATTCGAGTTCATCCGGCTTGGCGAACTTGAAGTGCGTTTGGCTACATGAAATCATTTGGAGCATCTTTGGCACCAAAATCTGTAGCATGGGAATGAAGCCAACACTTGTTCGCTGTACTGCCATGTTTCAGATGGCATCCATTATCCCATGCAGCCGGCTCTCACCTCTTTGGATGACCTGAAGCACTAAACTTTGAACCCACTTGCAAACCGAAATCCTAGGTCCTAGCTGTCTGGCTCAATAGGTTGCGGTTCCGCGGTTCCAAACAGAGAAGCTTTCATTCTTGCTTAAAGCCCTTGGGGTACAAAGCCTTACATCGTTGTCACAATCGTACTTCGAGAGGTTTCGGCGAGCAGGCACCAGACGGACGACATCTTGCTGGAATGTGTCGCCATCCAGGTGGGTCTATCCATTCGTCTGCTTATACCTGCCCGCTTGACTACATCGCGAGTGCGTAGATTAACTTTTTGCTTACCGTATCCAGAATGTTTTGCACGGATGTTTAGAGGGGGGGCTAGTGCGAAAATCTGACAACACTTCTGCACCATCTCCACAGCACTTTCACGGGGAACTCTGGGATGCGTTGCAACACAAGCTCGCAGTCACGTCTTGTGCCGAGCTGAGGCCACCTAGGTCTCCTCAACGAGCCAATGAGCGCGGCACGAACCGCTTCAGGTGGGCCACGAGCCATCGAAATCATGGCTTGGGCATGTAGATATGGATGCTCCAACCGACGGATGCACGACATGGACTTTGTCCTAGTTTGGGCATGGACGCTCTACACCACGGCGGGACCGGTGGAAGGGACATTCTCACAGGATGGGCATTTTGCCTCAAGCAACGGAGACACTAGCAGCATGGACGTCATCATACCTTGGGCCTGGTGATCTAAGCAACGAAGGCGCCGGTGGAATGGATCTTCAAATACTTTGAACATGGATGCTCTATTCAGGGCGGCCTTGGTGGAATGGTTCTGCCTTCGGCAGGGCTGCTCCCGCCGGAAAAATCGCGGCGGCAGAGATGGATGTATATAGAATCATGCTGTGATCTCATGAAGACGAGTGGCTGTGGCAGCAGTGTGTCATTGTCCTTCTTGAGATAAGACTGGCCTTCAGTTGCTCAAACGAAGCAGCCTCTAAAAGCGCAACACCAGTCAGTAGGAAGTCTCTGGGATGCAGGCTCCTGCGCTCGAACTTGAAGGATTCGAAGTGCAGCTGCTTGGTGATGACAAACCTAGCAACATCTGTACATGAAAAAGGTTAGCCATAGATTATAAGCCTGCCTCTTCCAGGCAGGGACCAACAGAAGCAGAAGGACCACGACCAGCAACACCTCGACGACTTGCTTCTCGCGCTGCCTCCAGGCATCACGACATGAACCATCTCTCTGTTGGGACATGGTTGGACGTAAGACAGAGACTGCCCTGAGGAAGCGACCCATGCGCGACGATCGACACTGCTTTGTCGAAGCATGTCTCCCAGGAAATGCCAATGATGAGCCCCGTGGCCGTGACGGCACTCCTTGTTGAACCATTTCGTTGCAGGAAAGACCGGACACGAAGCACAAGAACTGTCGGATAGGGCTAGGATTCTTGCTTGAAAGATCGGCCAAGCGATCCGAAACGAGTCAGACCTGGAATCCAAAACGATGTGCTAGACGCGAACATGGACCACACTTCACAACTTCAGGTTTGTCGAAAGCGAGAAACTGCCGCAGGCGGCTTTGTGCTAGGTCCGCAGCACAAGTCTTCAAGCTTGTCCAGGAACAGAACGACAATGTAGCCCAGCAGGGACATGGCGAAAGCCTTACGGCGTGACTTAGGCTCGTCGAAACAAGGCTTTCTAAAGCCTGGCACCCACGACATACCCAAACGGAGAGATATATGTCTCTAGCGTCAGGCCGGGGCCTGCACGGGCAGATATGTGATTTGGAAACATCACATCTTCGCCAGAGCTGGGGGCCGGTCGTTGTTGACTGTGGTTTGTTGTGAGTTGGTATGGGTTTCTATAGTTTCTTCTCTAAAGCTGATAGAATGTCTGGAAGACTAACAGGAGCCCCTCCAGGAGGTCCACGCTGCTCATGCACAGTTTGCACATGAACTGCTCTGGAGAGCGACGAAAATGGCAACCGCTCGACACTGCTTCGCCAGCTGAGCGGCACAACAAAGATTCGTACTCAATGCTTCACGGCATGTAACTGGTCCAACCAGACAAAGCCCTGTTATTGGCCTACAATCCTGCTTCCAAGTTGCTGTGATCACGTGCAGAATCATAGAGCCCGGCAGGAACCCAATCACACGGTTCTCAGGGCAGTTCACGGACCAGCTCATGTGAGTTTGTCGCAACTGCTGACTATGTCATCGAAAGAGCCTTGCTCAGGTCAGTATTGGTCCAGCGAACGGCATGAATGATGCACCAGCCGAAGGCCATCGCCAGTGTACACAAGACCATATCACGGACCTGCGTGGCGGCGTGGGGACCAGTGCCACAGTCCCACAAGAGCAAAACGGGTGTCTTTGCTTTAGCTCCAGCCTTCGCCCGCCAGGACTGCTCGCTGTAGCGCGGGCGCCAGAAGAAAACCAAAGCGACGGAGGCCGCCTTAGAGAAGCCAGGAACGCAGGCTGCCAGGCAGGAGAGAGGGAAGCACAGCACAAAGAAGAAGGTCCAGAAAGCTGTGTATCCCAGTCACGAAGAGCAGACCTCCTAAGATGAAGATAATCACTGCTTTCTTGAGGTCCACCGTGGAAGGCAGCTGGAAGCCTGCACAATACCAGCTGCCAAGCATGAGCAAGCTTTACAGCATCTTCCTTGAAAAGTCTTGAAGTCGAGGCCTTCAAAATCACTGGGTTCACCTGTCACCGCATACCCGAGGCACAAGACCAGCATATAAGAGCATGATAGCGAAAGCACCTCAAGCGGCCATAAAAGGTGCCAGCGGCATGGCTGTCGGCTTTGCATACACGGCTGAACTGTGCCAGGACTCGTCCACTTCAACATCATCCACTTCGTCGAAGTACAGATCGACCAACTTTTCTGGCTTTCCCCCACAGCGAACCATCCTGTTGCGATGGGATCTGAAACAAGCATAGCCCAAATCCTTCCATTATACGATGGGTGGCTCGAGAACGCGAAAGATGAGGAAGAGAAAGGCAACGTGAACCACCACTGACAGCCTCAGCTGACGACATGGTCTTGAGTCTTGAAACCATCCGAAAGAAGTGAGTCAAGGCCCGACTCGTCTGTCCACGTGCTTACAAGACACAGACTACAAAGAGCATTCTGCTTGAAGAAAGGAAAGTGCTGTAACATGACCTTTGTCCATGGTGAGGTTTTGCCAACATCATTTGCACAACTCTCGGGGACACAGCCGACATTCTGCTTTATGCTGCTTTCTGTCAAGGCACACCTGCGCGTATTGCTGCGAATGCCGTTACGTGCGACAGAAAAGCTGCTATGGTCTTCAGGCCTAAGATAAGCACGTGCATGTGCAGCAGCAGTGGAATGCAGTGGATGGATCAATGCCCAATTTGGTACTCGATCGCTATGCTTTCGGTCCCAGCTCAGGCTTTCTTGAGTGCGAAGCCAAAGCAAAACACCCGAAGGAAGACTTGCACTGTCCAGTTGCGAAGCTCTATCTTCTCCAGCGTCAAATTCCGATGCCTGCGAGCAGCGGGACAGGCAACATTTTAGCTGCTGGATTTCCATCCAAATTATGATTCAGCTCGGCTTTGCCTCAGAAAAATCGGATGTCTGTCTTCGTCCGTTCCGATAGCACGGCCCCATCCTTGGTCGAGACTCAGCCTTTCGAATTGTGCCCGCTTCGTGTCAGCCAAAGATTGGACACCCTGTCAGGCAGGAGACGCTTGTAGACGATGCAAGCGGGATCGACTATGTCCTTGCAATGCGGGCTGCCGGAAATGCTCGGAAGACTCATGAACCTCCGCAAGCAGAGGCCTTGTGGCTAGCCGTTACTGGATCGTCAATCACCCAGTCTTCCTGACATTCTGACAGTGAAGCAGGCCCTCACACTTGATAGTGATTCTCTGAAGAACCCTTCTTCTTGAGACGTGGCACAAACTCCACGTCCTCGTGGTCTATGTCGGCGCATAACAAGCCGGCAGAGAAGCCTTCCGACATCTGCAAGAACAGCAAAAGAACAAAGTGAGCCTGCATGCCGATTTGCCTACTGCTAGCTGCATGGCAACGAAGAACACCAGAAACCTGGGCACGTTCAGCTCTTCTCACAAAATCAGCTCCTCACGCTCTTGTGGCCAGCTTGTGCGTCATGAACAAACACATCGAGCGACAGCCCATAGTAGAAGGCACACCTGAAACCTGAGCAAAGACATGAAGACACTCACCATGCCACAAGCTGCAAGCCGTTGCCTGAAGGTTCGACGAACAGGAAAGACTGCAGCCATGTAACCCACGCTTGCTTCACTTGGGAAGACAAGGCTTTCTAGACTTCTCGCGGTCTTGTGAAAGAACAACAGGGAGGCCAGAATCGACATTGCTGTTCCTGGAAAGCTTGGTGAGGCCGCGCTGTCAACTTCTGAGCTTCATGAATTATGCCGTTGAATATCTGCTGGGGCACCAATGACAATCCAGCCGTAGTACCTGACACCATCATCCGGCCAGCTGACAACATAAAGGGTCCTCGGCTGTGTTGCAGCTCGACCGACTGTAAAGCCGTACGCTGAGAGGTACTGTTCTGCCAAGCCGCACACCGACGAAAGTCACGGCAGAAAGCAGTGTGTAGGCGACTCCCTCGCCTTCACTCGAAAACTCCTCGCAAGGTCCCGGCCATGACCAAGAGAAGTCTCATGTCAGGACGTATGCCCAAGCAGGCCCCAGCAGGCCAATATGGCGGTGTTGTTTTAAGAGCATAGGTATGATAGATGTTATACTGGTCCTATGTGGAAACCTGCAGTGCCACACTGTGCATCCAGCTGAGCTATTCGTGTCAGAGCTGCATGGGACGGGTGGTGAACTAGATCGATGAGATTGCCCTTGCGACGCAACGCCGTGAAGAGCGGCTCAGAATCACTAACTTGCCATTCCGACTTTTTGAAAGCAAGTCTGTCCTCCCGCTCCACCTGAGCAGCAGGGAATGGCAGGGAAGGTAACAAGAGCAGTGGAGTACACTATACATGGACCCTTGCTGGGCCTTCAAGCGAGCCCGGCCCCGAAACATGCCGAGGCGCTTCCTTTCGTTCCAGCTCGGCCTGTGACATCGATGCATTATCCTCAGGAACGAGGCTCCGGAGCTTCCCAGACACAGGAATCAGCTCAGAGGACTTACGTTGCACATGCACCAAGCAGTGACCCGCATCGCCTGCAAACGTGCAGACTCCGCACCTGGGTCCCTAAATTCCCCTTGAGCGCTTGGCTGAGACCGATTGCAGTTGCCGATCGGGCCTGACATGCAGGCAGAGCCGAAGTGGACTCCAAGCGCTGGCAGGGTCATGAGCCTGCCCACTTGAGCCTCGCCATGGGGCTCAGCCGCAAGACAAAGGCAGAGCAGTGCCTTGCAGAAGGACACTCGGATTGCCGGGTGCAGAGGGTGCTTTATAGTAAGCCCCGTGCATACAAGAGCCCACGGGCCCGACAGCCAGGACACCACATCGGGGAAGCGCTGCCCTCGTCTGTGGCCCTAAAAGAAAAAAACAGCTTCGGAGAGCATCAGAGCTCGACAGGACAGGTCCAGGACTGTCTTCCATTCCCTCGAAAAGTAAGCACAAAATGGGCGCATCAGCGGACAGCCAAGCACTTTTTCTGAAAAATCCCCCTCGGAAGGGCGCTAGTGTCTTGTCACGACATGCTCCTGCTGGATGCTGAAACCTCCTGTCTGTTCTCCATCTATGAAAAACCTGAAGATACAGATGCATCTTGAACATCTAGTCCAACTAACTCCTGGACGAAACCCAATTTGGCCGACAAGCTGTCTGCAACATTCTCGAACCTAAATTAGTCATGGACTGTAGAGACACTCGATCAAATCTTCCACGTACTGTACAGCCTGGAAGCTCTTGAAACAGCTTCCGGGCTTGCGCATGAAACTCCAGCTGTCCAGCCACACACCTAGCCACACGCAAAAGAACTAGAGTAGTTTGAGGGTGCACTTTGCCAAGTCAGTAACGTCAGCTTTCTCAAAGCTGCGCCCTGCCAGGCTTGCTCGAATTCGAAATCGAAGCAGAACATGCAGCCTGCATGTAAGCCGCCTGCAGGCTGAGCATGTTCTTATACATGTAGGAACTCAGGCACAGGGAAAGCCCAAAAGGCAGAACACCCTGACCTCACAAACATGTGTGTACAGAATGTACAAGCGCATGCATCCTACTGCTGCATGCTGTCAATGGAAGAAGACGGGGCCCATGCATGGACACCTCTTGTGCGACTGAATTTCTATGTTGCAGGCGATCGAATTACACTACTTCAAAAACTACCAGCAGCTAGGTTGACGGACAGCGTCCGGGCAGGTTTACCTGCTGGCACCTTTTCCGGCCAGTGCGAAACTGATTTCTAGCGCGGCAGCCCCGGAAGACTCCTAAGTTCGAATGATCCTGGCCGGTGACATAGAAGATCATTCAGCAAGCACCTGACGAACTCGTGACACAAGCTCGCGTACGGCAGACACAGGAACATTCAGTAGCCTTGCGCTCAAAGCTGTCGGTCAACTTCGGCATGAAATCCTGCTTCCGTGGGCCAGTCTGGACATGTTGCCAATAGCATGAGACACTCCAACTAGCCTCCTCTAAACGAGAGCCGCGGAGACCACTCAGTACCTGCCAATTACAGTGCAGACAGCCGCAGCCTCGTTCGGAAAATTTCCATCAAAGGCATGGCGCACCATGTTTTGAAATCTATGCACAGGCCAGTCGTACTTCGGCAAGAACTCTCCATGCATACCTGGAGTAGAACACGGGGAGGCCACAACCCTCTCGCCAGAGTTCCGATGGCCTTGGCTGTCAAGGTTGCCAAGTCCCACTTGCAGATTTTCAATGGCAACCACGTCCTCCCAGGCCAGTCGTGCTGTATGCTGCTGTCGCTTGCCTGTGCGCGTATGTGCACTGCCAATCTCTTCGTGGCTTTTGGCAGTACTGTGCTGGTTTGATGCTGCCTTTGCCTTCTCTCTTTAGAGCAATCAGCTTGGGCTATATTATATAGCGAACCCGATGTATTGCGTTTTTCGATCGCTGTGCCCTTCCAGAAGGACGGCACTGGTAGTAAGAGTCAGAATTATATGCACCTTCTCCCCAACATCATGCCCAAGATTGCGGCGATCGTCATTATCCACATCCTCACTGTAAGTACTGTTGTCACTGGCGGCAACAACAGCAACAACAACATGGTTCTTATGTTTTAGAACTCATCTTTTTTAGAATTCATCTTGTAGTCGCAGACATGCTGCTGTCAATCGCAATTTGGGTTCCTCGTGTTGCCATGGCTATTGCATGTTCAAAGTAACATTGACTCTACTCTGGCTCCTGACTGCTATGACTTCTGCTGCTGATGTTCCTGCTCCTACTCCTACCAGTACCACTACCACCACCACCACCATCACCACCACCACCACCACCACCACCGCCACCACCACCACCACTACTACTACTACTACTACCACTGCTGCTACTTCTACTACTGCTGCTACAGCTGCTGCTACTACTACTACTACTACTACTACGACTACTACGACTACTACGACTACTACTACTACTACTACTACTACTACTACTACTAGTGCTGCTGTCTGCTGCTACCGCTACTGCCACCTCCACTGCTACTGCTACTGCCATCTTCATCTTCCTTGTCACTTCTAACTGGTCTCACCGTCTCACCGGCCACACCACTACCGTGATAATAGTCTCTTCCATCAGATTCATCATCATCGTCACCATCCGTATTAATAACTCTTCCTCCTTCCTCACAAATCCGGCATTTACCATGCGCATAGTTTCTACTATGAATATTTCTATGTTTCTGGCTCTGGCATACCACTCTTGCTGCCAGCACTGTTTACTTTCGTTGGTGATGTCCCAGTCCCCACAGCATCACTCCCATATTGGCTGTCGTGTTGCTCCTACTATTGGTGCTCTGCTGCTCTGCTTGTTGGCCTCTGCTGCCGTGTCTTCCCTTCTGCGTCGTTGCGGGCACATCACTCCCTCGCTCAGCGTTGTGACACTGCTTTCCACAGCCATCTCAAGCCACTCCTCGTCGTTGATGGTCGTCACAAAATCCATGAGTGCATTGCATCTCTCGGTGTGCCTTGTCAACTTGTACTGGCCCATGCAGGTTTTCCAATCTGGTACAACATGGCGGCGGACTCATCTGGAGAGACCTCTTTCCTGCGCGCTCCAGGAGCCATAAGAAGGGTCAGCAGTTCCTGCCAACTCTGGGCGGTCAACACCACGCTTACGAACACTATTGGCGTCCTCTGTTTTCCCTTGGGTCTTTGAGGGCAGAGTAAGCAAAGTATACACCTCGGTGACGATGCAGTGCAGGTGGCTGGACGCGGCTATCATGGAGCGATGCCAGTCAAAGGTCTGGGCAGAGTGAGGATATACGGTCACCTGCACACACGACATCGCTGCTTGATTCTGGATGCAGGAGGCTGGTCAGGCGAAAGCGCTCATTCAATGAGTGAGAAGCAAAACAAAAGGATCCGGCTGAAACGTTTGGAAAGATGTGGAAGAAGAGAGCAGAATTCGACCTCGCTTAAGAACTACCAGAACTGACCGACTGACCCTTGCTGGAATAACTTGCCTGCTCTCAGAGCCTGACTCTATTGGACGAAGTCTTCCAAACGAATTGAACCTGTCGCTGTCCTGGGTTGCTGGATGACCCGTCTTCCACTGCTGACGACACGAATCGACAGCGGATCAGAAACCACGGGGCCCCTGCTCCGGGCCCGCCGCAGTCCGTGAGAGGAGATGTGACAAAACCAACGTACTGTCCGCCACCTGTCTGCGATAAAACTGCCACAAGCCGCATGACCCGAGACCAATTCAAGCAAGCAGAAAACACGTCGCTTGAAATACGACTACAAGAACATCTCCATGATGCATCATTCTCTCCCCTGATGGCTTCGACAAACACTGAGTGCCTTGGTATGGTAAGTGGTCGTCAACACGAGAAAACCTTCGCAGAACAAACCAGACACAAGAGCGAGACATCTTTCGTTTCTTCGACCGCACTCAAGCTCCAACCTGGAGAGCGCAGGGTGCACTGCATCAATGTGGTAGAAATCCACGAAATTCTCGCAAATAAGCTTCCAGTCACCTGCACACAAGACCGAGGTTTGTCGTCCACCTTAAAGCCGGGGCGACTGCAGCCTGCTATGTCATAAGTCTTCTGCGCATGCATCTCCATGTCGTCCTGGCACCCGAAACCACGAGCTCTACTGCCGTCTACGCAGAATCTGCAATGTCAACAAGCCGGCGAGACTAAGTCATACCGTTGGAGCTTTGTTGGCAAATCACCCAAAGAGTCGCGAAGCGGCGTTGGGTTTGGTGTCTGGTTGAGGAAGATGATACCTCTGCAGGCAAAAGGCCACAAATCAGTTTCTGCACTCAACACCACGACTTGAATGCGAGGAGATTCCATGCATGGCACAGCCTGCGAAGGTTTCGAGGCCAGGAACACGAAGCAAACCCAATTCCTCCTTGCGCTCCTGTCGAAATGCAGTGTAATCAAACTTCCGCAAGTACGGCGGTCCTTGGGAACTGCCGCCGGGGGCGTCGACTTGAGGGAACCGTCAAGCCGATACGCCCACCAGTGGTATGGGCAAACCTCGACTTGAAACCGACTCACGAGCCGTGAGCCCTGCCCTTCCAGGCATGCACTCGGTCGGCTGCCAGTTGCTTGCAACCAGATGCACTGGTGGAGCAAACACGGGCTCCGCGATGCCGACACCTTTGACAGCGGAGGAAACGTCAAGCATAAACAGACCAGGTTCTCGAACTCATCGGACTCTGAGAAAGGAACGTGTTGTAGAAAGCATGCAGCTTGTGATTCTTGTCTCGGGTAAGGATTATGGACTTTGTCCCGACCTTGCCAAGACACAGCATCCAGTACTTCATAAACGATTCCAGGTGACCTACTGCGTACAGCTTCAACTCCCTCTAACTGCTGCACAACCGGACCAGAAATCGGACCAAAACTGCGCATACTTGCAGTCACCTCGGATGAGGTAGGGTTGCCTCAACGACTTTGACGTCCCCCGGCTGGGACAACTCTTGGACGTGAGCTGCTGCAAACCTTAGTTCCAAGAGCTTAGGCTTCGATCTTTCAAGTCAAGCTTCTACATGGCGATGAGGCAGGAAACCAGTTCATTCCGAAGATGCGCTCCCTCTCGAGTTGCGCCTTCCATGTCAGGAAGCTACAAAACTGCGCTTCGAGCTGCACCCTCGCTCATTCTGTGACAAACTGGGACGAACACATAGGACTGATCTGTGTAGAACGCCGGGTGCAAAACCTTCAAGGGAGACAGTGACCCACAGATGACACTCTGCAATGCATCCGCTGACTTTTCTGGTCAGCTAGCGTGGCCTTTGCTTGCTCGATGCACCGTGCAGTTGGGCGTGCCAACGCCTGCTATGAGAAGTACGAAAAGCATCTGCTTGCAG